AAAGGTTATGATCGTAAAGAGAGAGAGAGAGAGAGAGAAATATTATTTACAGGAAATGTAAAAAAAAAATCACTTTCGCACGGTTTATTTTTATTATTATTATTATTAAATTACATGATATTTATAAAAAAAATAATCTTTTCGCATTTTTTACCGGTTAAAATTATTTTTTTTTTTTTAACTAATTAATCCGATTATTACGATACAACAACCAAAAAATATTAATGAAAGAAAACGGTCGTTTGTTTGTTGTTTGTGTTTGTTTTCTATAAGTAACGTTCATCTTTTTTTTTGAGTTTAGGCGTGCGGGTTTTATTCGTAAAAGTAGGTTTCGATACCGCCGAAGAATGAATCAATATAGTTTTTAAATCGATATTTTAAATGCTAAAAATTTTTAAATCGATATATAGATCGATGTAAAATCGAAAAAAGAAAATTTTATTTATTTATTTAAAAAAAAAAAATGGCGGCGGACGTCAAAAAAACAACAAAAAGTTACCGATGATAATTTAAAGATTTGATAAATAGTTTATATATATATAGAAATTAAAGAGAGAAAAAAAAACGATTTCTCTCAAAACCGGAAACGGATGATTTTCACTTTGATTCGTTCCGCTCGATGTAATCCATCCATTGATTTATTGATGGTGAAAATTGTGACAATTTTCGATCGAGTAAAAGCGTAAAAAAAAATTTATAAAAACCGGAAATAAAAAAAAAAAAAACAATTATTATTATTATTATTAGAAAATGTGGTTAAATGTTTTTAAATTTAACACGAAACTTTCAATAACCGCTAATAATAATAATGATTTTTATCGTGTATTAATTTTCGTAGAAAACTTTTCCCTTCTATGTACGTATAAAAAATAATTATCGACCGGAAACGATCATTTGAATTTCTTTTTTTCTTATAGAAAAAAAAGTTATTATTATTATTATCAATTAGAAAACCATTGGAAAAAAATAAACTGACCGTAGGTTCGTTTCACCCAAAAAATACCACAAAACCTTCAAGTGAACAGGTGCTACTTTCTATTGTACACGTCGTAAAAGTATTACATTTCAAAAAAAAAAAAAAACTTTCGGTTGCCATTTTGTCGATCAAAAAATTTCTTTGTTTGTACGATAACAACCGAAATACATATAAAAAAAAAAAATTCAAGACCTTGTTTGTCGTACAACAACACAAACCTTAGTAGTTTGAAATTCGAGAACCTTGAGTGATTGTATGAATTTTTAATTTTAATTACATATTATTAAAGTTCAAACCCGAGGGTTTTCGATAAGAATTTATCCGATTTCCGGTTTGACGATGTATCGAAAGGAAAACAAAATTTTCACGTAACGTGGAAAAAATAAATAAAACCCAAAATTTTTAAAAAATGGTGTCACCAATGAGAATGTCATTAGTTTTACTTATTTTTTTTTTTTTTTTTTGATAAAAAAAAAAATTAATTTGGTTGTTTGTTGTTGTTGTTGTCGTTGTGGTTGTTGTTGAATGAATTTTTTTTAAAATGTTGTTGATCAAAACAAACACTCTTAACTTAACCGTTAAATTTATTATAAATTTTTTTAAAAAAAATTGAAGACATTTTTTTTTTTTTTTTATTTGTTTTGGTAGGTCAATATTTCATGCATTTTTTTTTTTTTTCGGTTGGCACCAATAACTTGTACAAATACGACAAACGTTCGAAGTTTGCATAAAAAATTCTCGTTATGAACGTTATAATAATAATAATAATAAAATTTTTTTAATTCGTTTTTGTTTTTCCGTCAAAGAAGTGTGACGTCGTCGCTAACGGTTATTTAAATAAAAAATTATTATAAATTTATCACGCGTGATTTTTTGAAATTATTACCAACGTAACAAAAAAAAAAGGGGGGGGAGGGGGGAAAGAATATTTTGGAACGTATGAAAATTCCTTTGTACGTATTTAAAAATGAAAAATAAAAATTAATTTAAAAGTTATGGTTTTAATTATGGTTTTAAAAAAAAAAAAAATTATCGTTAATTAAAATTAATTTTAAATTATAATTAAAAATAATAATAATAATAATATTATATGATTTTTTATATTATTTAACTATTTTATAATTTTTTTTTTTTATTTTTACACATGAAAAAATTTTTTAAGCAACGACCGAATAATAAAATCGTAACTTTTTTTTTACAATAAAAATTCGCATTTATGTTGGTAACAATGAT